AGAGGCTGGGCTGCTTGGTGAAGGTTTCTAGCACTGGCCGAGTAGCAAGAGAGAGTCCTGAGTCAGAGGTCCACAGTCATTCAAAAGCATCAGTCCAGCTCAGCTCCCTGTAATGCCTGCTGGCTATTCCCTTGGGGTCGGCATCCTGTTCTCCCTGATGGGGAGGTAAGTGAATAAGCTGAGTCCAGGCTGAAGGCACCCACCAAGACTGGGGTCCTTACTGCTTACAGAGCTTTGCAAAAGTGGGGAGTCATTCTGTTGATGGCTCCCAGTCCAGTCCCTCCCAGAAACTGCTCCCCTGAGAAGACCAGACACACCCAAGGTTAAGCCCCCCCAGGGCAGACACAGCCAATGGCTGGTGGGTAGGAGATGTCTCACTCTGAAGGTCATCCCAGCTTCAGAGCCTCCAGTGGGGTCAGCCACTTTGGGGCCCATCCCTTCCCTCTGCCTATCCTGTCCCACTGCCCCTCACACGGTTGTCCCACATGCACGCCTTAGAATCCTTCCGCACATGAATGGCTGAGTCAGAGTCTGCCTCCTGGGACCCGACCTACGACAGGGTGAAACGCTTGGCTCCTCAGTCAGATCGACCTGGGATCAAATTCCAGCCTGGTCACTTACTTACCAGGTGACTGTGGATAGGTGCCCTAACCCCACTGAGCCCACATGCCCCACCTATGAGCATATCACCCCAGCCCTCTCACCTGCTTGCAAAACTTAAAGGAAGCAATATCTCCAAGCCAATTTGTAGAAGGAATTGAACAGTTTGGACCAATCCCACAGGCAGCCAGCAACCCAGGGAATCTCCCACTTGCAAAAATGCAAGGTCACGGAATGACTGACGTGGCGAACGGCCCGGCACCCAATTAGACTATGAAAACTTGGGTTCCAAGTGTTTGTTTCTTCAAGAGTGACCTAAACACCCGATATTTATCATCCTTTCTGGCTGGGATGGGAAACGAGCCAGCCACTTCAGATAGGCCATGAGTCACGGGTTTCTAAAAAGAAGAAATTCCTATTGTTGCACATTTTTATAAATGTTTAAAAAGCGATGGGACAGCTGCTGCCATCAGTAACCCACACAAAACTCGTGTTCATAAACACACACTCTGCTGCAAGCACGGAGATCCTGCCCAGCCGTTCCTCTTCCCCTGGCTGCAAGGCCCCAGTTCCTGGGGGACCAGGGAGTGAAACGGAGAGAGCAGGTGTGGTAGGTAACGTCTAGGTTCCCCACTTCTTGGTATTCACGCCCTGGAATCTCCTCTGCTTGAGTGTGGCCTGGACCTTGTGACTTGCTTCGAAACAACAGAACGTGGCAAAGGTGATGGTCTGTCACTCTCATGATCAGATTACAAAAGATGGAGACATCCGACTTGGGAGGAGACTCTCTCCTTTGCTGGCTCTAAGGAAGCACGCGGCCGTGTTGGCAAGGCCCAGCGGCAAGGTATTGAGGGCAGCCGCTAGCCCACGCAGGCAAAGAACGAAGGCCCCCCTTCCAACAGCCCTGAGGAACTGAGTGCTGCCAAGAACCACGCGAGCGTGGAAGCAGATCCTTCCCCAGTCCAGCCTTCGGATGAGACCCCACCCTGCTGATACCTGGACAGCAGCCGTGAGAGAGACGGTGAACTGGAGGGAGGGCCCAGTCAAGCTGGGCCAGGCTCTGACCCTCAGAAACTGAGGCAGTAAGTGTGCTGCGTTCAGCGCTGCATTCCTGGGTGATTTGTTACATAGCTATCCATGACTAACACGGCAGGCAACCCCGTAACTGGGCTAGCTAGCGTTCTGCTGCAGGCTACCGCCACACATCCTGCCGTTCTCTGTCACGACAAGGTCCATGCCTCGCTTCTCTGATAATGTGACAGCTCCTGGAGAGCAGCCCCGGGACGCCTTCATCCCTCACCGATGGACCAGGTACGCTCAGCACCAGGCCCGGTGTCCAGGGGTCAGGACCAACAAACGCTGTAATCAATTAACTATTTCTATTGAGTGAAGGACCAGGAAGACAAGAACCCTTCACTTTTGGTTCCTAGTATAAACAGGGTACTTGTTCTGGCGAAAAAAAAGAAAGGAAAAAGAAAACACGATGACTACTTGGGATGGCCATCTTGTGGCCCATGAGCCTTCTTAAGGAAGGCAGATTTTGGCTGGGGTCTGTGTGGTGAGCTGGGCAGATCCCGCTTCGATGTGAACCTGGACAACGCGACTACCCTCCCTGTTCAAAGGTTCACCTTTACAGCACTCGTGTCCTCAGAGGCGGAATCAGAACTACAGGAAAAAAAGAGACCCACCCAGGGAAGCGGCTCTGCTCTCCAACAAAACCGCACACGCGCTTTCCTCCGTACTCTCGCCCTCCCTGCTCAGGACGCCTCTTCCCCTTGGCCACCTTCCTTCTTTGTTTATTGGGCAGACTCCTATTCATCCTTCAAAACCCAGCCTGGCCTCAGCTCTTCTAGAACAGTGTTTCAGGACCACCCCACCGGCAGCTTCTTCCCTCTCCTGTGCCACATCTAATCATCCTCCCTCGGCTCCGGCTGAATAGACCGTAATAACCATAATATCCATAATAACCACCACCACGCCCGTCTCCCTGAGCAGCCGTGAGCTCGTCTTCCCAGGGCCTAGAGCAGGGCTGGCACACACCAAACCAAGCCCAGACAGACGGGTGCGCACCGCTCTGTGCCCAGGGAGCAAAGAAGACCGCAGTTATCGCTCCTGACCCTGTGAAGCAGAGCGCGGTGTGACTTTCCTCAGAATGAGGAACTGGGGAAATGCGACAGGAAGACGTTTGGGGAGCAGAAAGTGCACTCCTGAGAGAATGTTCTAACCTTGTGAACTGCAGCTGGGGGCGGCCTGGGGGAGGAAGGCAGAGCAGCTGTGAAAACACCTCAGTGGGCGTTAAGGGGTCATTTAGTCACCAGGCCTCTCTTTTCATGGCTGCTGGTTATGTAATCATGTCTACTCGAGAGCCCCACTGGTTTGTGTCAACCGTTCTCGATCGAGGGGGCCCAGCCCACTCCGTGAACAGAAGGGCCTACGTCCTGCCTCCGGAGTGTGGGAATTGGCAGGGAGGACCTGCTCTGAGGTCAGGGTCACTGCAGAGCTTCAGAAGATGGACTCCTGAGGCTGGAGGACACAGAGGCAGACAGAAACCACCTGTGGCCTGTACACGGGCCACGTGGCATGGCACCACGAGGGCCGAGGGGCAGAGATGGAGGGGGACCATCCAACTCCCCTCAAACCAGATCACACTGAGAGCAGCAGAGGCCATTGTGAGAACTCCACAGAAGGACGAATTCAAGGGGGAGTGCCCAGGGCAAGACTTTAAGGCAGATCCTTCTGGGGGCAACAATGGAAAATGAAAGCGGCAAGGTGTAAGACTACATTCACACACACACACTACACTCATCTGCCTAGATGAGCAGTCTGGAAGAAAGGAGGCCAAAATATAAACAACAGTTATCTGGGTGGGAGATTATGGGTGTTTTTTAAGAGAACTTCCCAGTGTATTTCCTGAAATTTCCACAAGAAACATGTCTTAGTTTATCACCAGCAAGGACATGGGGCCAGGAATGTGTGCCACACCAGGAAGGACGCAGGGTGGTATCAGGGTCCTAGGGCTGCTGAAACAAGTTACCACAAACTGGTAGCTATTATAATACCAAGAGGGAAGTATTATTCTCTCTCAGTTCTGAGAGCTAAACATCTGAAATCCAGGTGTTGGTGGGGGTGGTTCCCTAGGGGGGCTCTAAGGAAGACTCTGTCCCAGGCCTCTGTCCCAGCTTCTGGGGGTTTGCTGGTAATCACCCCAACTTCTGCCTCCATCATCATGTGGTATTCTCCCGTGTCTGTGACCCTGTGTCCAAATTTCCTCTTCTCATAAGGACACCAGCCACTGGGTTAGGACCCATCCTAATTCAATGTGACCTCATCCTGAGTCCCTATTTGTAAAGACCTATTATGCAAAGACCCTATTTCCAAACAAGGTCACACTCACACATCTGGGGGTGGGGGCTAGAACTTCAACGTATCTTGGGGGGAGAGCGTAATTCAACCCTTAATAAAAGGTAATTAGCCCAAAGAAAAATAAGACACAGAGGGCCATGACCACTGTCCTCAGTATCTGGCGAGCTCTCCCATTTCAGGGTCCGATGTGCTCTGGGAGCTCCACGGAGGAGAAATGGGCCCACAGTGGGGTCCCTCCCAAAGACAGACTTGGTCTCCAAATGGGAAGAAGGCTCTCACCAAGACGTCCTGAGCTGGACTGGCCATCCTGGGCGGGGAACTCCCATTCAAGGGTCCTGGACCTGACTGGAGCCCTCTTCTGTCGGACGTGGTGGTATCAGTCGGAGAATGTTAGACTAAATAATTTTAAGGTCCTGAAAGCCCAGAGATCCTGCCATCACAGGGCAGGATTACCAGCTATTTTAAGCATCGCCCAGCGCTGGCCTGGACAGCCCTACACTGTCTGTTCAATATCATGCTAGCTTTGCCTCATCCATTCCAGGCAAACCCTGCTCTTTACAACAATGCAGCTCTGTCCATCCTTCTTCTTCCTTTTTGGTCTCTCAAGGAAAGCTGGAGCCTGCCCCCTCACAGCCCAGGGGATAAAGGCATCAATCAAGTTGGGAGTCAAGGAGCTGTAGGAGTTAAACCCCAAGGATTCCAGGGGTGTTTCCCATGTCCTGACCGTGTCCAAGGAGCAGCTCCATGTCCCCGGGTCAAACGGGCCAGAGGCTGAAGGTCCACAGACCAGGGTCAGGCTGGCCAGGAAAAACAATCCACCATTTGTTTAGACACAGTGAAGACGGTTCCAAGAATAACATTTACATAAGACATAGCAGTAACATTGCACGTTAATCTTGTTTATTTAAAAAAAAAGAAAGAAAGAAAAGAAGAGGCACAATCTTGTTTGTGATGAGGAGGACTGTTCTTTAAAACTGCCTTTTCTTTTCACTGTGCTCCACCACCCCGCCCCCCAAAAAAAGCTGTGAACTGCTCACCTCTCCACAGGATCCCTGAGCATGACAATCAGTTTTGCGTCCGGCTGAAAGGCGTGGATGAAGTCCTGGGTCAGGAAGGGTGGCTCGCCATCCGAGCTGTTGTCGTAGAAGAAGGTCCAGGCGTTGTTATCCCACATGGTGGAGGCGCTGGCCTCGCCTGCGAACGGAAGACACAGCACCCAAGCGGTGCTGAGCGACGGGCTCCCACAGAGCAGCCTGCGAGGGGCCACACCTGGCTCGGATGCGGGCCCCTTAAATAGCCACACGCTAGAGCAGCTGGGCCAGCACGCTGGCAGACAGGCCTCCAGGAACAGGAGGCTGAGGCCCACCCTCTGCCTCAGTGACACCCCCCCAAACCCCCACCCCCAGGACCACAATCTGGAGTCAAGGTGACCCATGCAACCCTAAGCATCCCTCTTCCTCCCAGCTCCTCTCTCTAGGACGTACCAAAAAAATCTCTGCTAGCATCTGGCCTCCCAATTTTACGATAGTTAACTTTGCTCATGGCACACAGCTCTGTAACATTTTAAGGGCCCGCTGAGAAGTCACTAGATGGTTTCCTTCAAAAAGCCTCAGGATAAAGGAGTAGTTGGGGGAAGCCCATCCTCCTCAGGAGACTGGATGCAGTGCACCATCCGTCTTTCTTTGCGATCACACTGGTGAGTCCCAGGGCACAGAGGAGAGAAGTCTTCTGCGGAAGGGCTCACAGGACCGCAGTCTCAGGCTGCGTCCTGTCCTGTGTGCCCGCCCACCCCATGGCCCACCCCAGCCACATTCACTCGGTCCTGCCTGGGGGCACAGGAAGTTGGTGCCAGCCCATTTTATCACGGTCTTCATGAATGAAGGATGAAAATGTTAATCATACATTCTAGAACAGGGCTGAGGCCAAGACACAGGCATTCCCACATTTGTCTCTACGAAAACTGAACCAATTCCCTAACTTCTTTTTTATTTTTAGGACAATCTTCAGAGTTTTGAAAGAAAGGCGAATCCATCAACTACATTTTCAATTTCCCGACATTTTACATGGGACTCTGACACATCTCAAAGTTTATTTAAGGGAAATCTGAGCCAAAAGACTAATAGTCTTTGATTAGTGATGAGCACATCATAACAGTGCAGAGAGTGAGCAGCGCTGGCCCCATTTGTCCTGTTGGATGTGTAAGAGCTACACACACAGAAGCCGTACCGATAATGATTCTATTCATCTTGCTGTGCTCCTTCGCAGAGCTGGCCTGCAGTCCTTGATGGATCTGATGTGCAGCCAGGTCAAAGAGGTCCAGATAATCCTCCACAGGGTAGCGGTCCCGCAGCCCATCTCTCAGGCGGACAATTCCTACGAGAAGCAGAAGTTACTGAGGACAGTGCTGCCACTGCTGGGCTGCTGGCCTCCCGGGCAGTGACAGAGAGAGGTGCAGAGGCCTAAGAGCCAGCTGCAGCAGCCAAGGCTCGTCCTGTTGAGCTGCTGGAGGGGGCAGCAGGTAAACGGGCGTCTGTGAACTGGCTGCCCTCTTGCAACCCATGAGTGCTTCAAAGGGTGGAACACACCACCATTAGGGTACACAGTGGCAGCTTAAAGGATGGCCACAGCTGTTCGAGAACTATAAAGGTGTCTACTTGGAGAATGAGAGCGTTTGGAGCGGGTAAACATGACACCAGATGAGACCCTGAAGGGGCCAGGCAGCAATGACATCAAGGATGCACACACTGCATCAAAGAGAAAAAAGGGCAATGTTTTCTCAAGCTCTGTCTCCTGGCCTCTTCAGTCAAGCAGCTTATCTGTGCAAACTATCCCAGTCCCTGGGATTGATGGTCCCTGGACAGACACTTCGGGTACTTATTCCGGTACCAGCCACATGCAACCGAAATTTGCCCCTTGCCTGAAAGTGGGTACATTGCACTTGCAAGCATATTAACCGCACACTGCCCCAAACCACACCTACCAAGGTTCATGGGAAGTGGAAAGAGAACGTCCACAAGCAAATGAGCAAGAGGTTCAAGATAACACTGGATACTGGATTCCAGAGGCACGCCCCTGTGCCTCCCTCTTCCCTGCCAGGGGGAACCTGGTTTTCATTAGGGAAATGGTGCACTGTGTAGGGAGCACCCCCGGTAAGTGAGTACAAACGTGAAACCCTGGGTCCCACAGCTGCCACTGCCAAACCCCAAAATACACATCTATACTTTGTCCACTCTGGGAAACACCAGAAAGATTAAGTCAAGCATTGGTTGAGAAACACATTAAGTGTCGGTCTAAACTTGGGTTCTACTAAGGAAAACTCCGAAGATTCCCTTCTAAGCAACCTGGGTCCTTTACACGGAAAAACGCACTCAGGCCCGCCCAGGCGTTGGCGTTTGTCATTGCTTAGCTCCAGTGACCAAACGTCTCCTGGCAGAGGAAAAAGGTTAAGGAGAGGAAACAATGTGACCTGAGGGCCGCAGGGTGGCTCAGCTGGGCGGAGCAGAAACCAGCCTGCAGGAGGGATGGGCCATGTCCACGGTCCACGCTGTGGGAAAGGGGTGCTGTGAGCAAGGTCGCCGAGAATTATCTCCGTGTGGCTCTTTTGGACCCCAAGAGGCAGACAGGGCAGGGGGGAGCAAACAAGGCACAAAGCACCTCAGTGACATCCTCACGGCCCCGGCTGAGCCTGCAGGAAGCTGGAGCCCGGGCCCACGTGGCCGACCTTCTTTCTACTGCCTCCTCCCAGTGCGGGGGCTCCAGCAGGACAGGCACAGAGCTGCCAGTGGACACGTCCAGACAAACGCCCACCTAGCCCCTGGCACTGACCACTGGCACGGGGGCAGAGGGTCTTCAGGAAAAGGTGAGCTGCCGATTCTGCACCCTTCCCCTTGCCCTGCACACAGCTGGCACTCAATAAACGCTCACTGGGTGGCAGGGAGCTGGGTTCCAGGGTGAGGGAGGTTCGTCGGGAGCCTTAGACGAGTGGACGGCCTGACCTCTGCCTCTCAGCGGGTTTTCTCATCTTCCCTGCCCCGCGCCTCTGGGAACTCAGCACAGCGCCTTGGCCCCCCCGGTAGGCTCTCTGCGTTCCCGCCCGACCCCGATGACCCCCCAACGCGTGCGGAAGGCATGAGTGAACGATGGTGACAGGAGCACCGGGACACACCCGGGGTCCCCTCCCCGGGCAACCCGGACCAGCGCGCTCACTCACCAAACCGCTTCCGCGTCCACCAGTGTGGCTCCTTGATGGCGGAGAACTTCACCTCGGGGTGCAGCCGCAGGCGGTCGTAGAGGTCGGTGGTGCCGCACTTGGGCTGCCCGATGATGTAGAAGCGCGGCAGGCAGCGCAGGCGGTAGTGCTTGCCGGCGGCGTGGGACAGGTGGCTCCAGAAGGCCTTCCGCAGCGCGTCGAAGGTGGAGCGGAAGCGCCGGGAGTAGAGCGCGTAGGAGTTGCTCCGGTAGGGGTCGCTGGTGTTCCGCCCCGTGAACTCCTCGTACCAGCAAGGGCTCTGACTATCGGGGAGAAATTTGCTGGGGATGACTGAAAACATCTGCAACGAGAAAGAAGAAAAGGGAGAGGCGCGGAGAGGAAAAAAAAAAATTAGCCAAAACACATTCTATCCCCAGCGAGATCCTACTCTATACTTACTCCTTACTCCACGGTTCAAATCTGAAGGATTATTTGACCATGACTAAATATTACAATCAAGCAATACTTGGTAAACCAGCTAACGACCATGTTTTTCCTTATCCCAAAATGAAAATAAAATTGGGAGAGAATGAAGATAAAAGTTTAATCAAAATCCATTCTACCACAATTTATCTTACACACACACACACACACACACACACACACACACACACACACACACACAACAGTGTAATTAAACAGTTGGAATCTTTTCATTAGCTGTGTATTTAAATGGCCATCAGAGACAAAAATACTAATTAGGACAGAACAGAAACCGGATGACGGTGATCTACCAAAGCAACTTTTAATCACCATGACCACATTTCAAGCAAGAAGGCCTAGATTGGAATTTTGAGAAGGGGTCATCCTTCAACATTTCTAGCTGCGCCCATCAGTTCTACAAATTCCCTTTCTGGTGTAAACACTGTAAAACAGACGGCACGCTCCCGGTGCAGTCTGATCCACAAGGCTGTCTAATTATCCTTCTTACTCTTCAGAAATTGTTTGGTCATTTTCTTCCTGTGTTCCTAAAGATGGTGGCAGACAAGGAAGCATCCGTTTTTCAAAATCCATCAATCAACAGAGATTAGCACAAGGCTACTCACGTGCAATTCCTGCTTCTTGAGATCTTCTACGTCTGGGAGCTGCCTGGTCGTGAACTCTATCCTGGCTGTGATGCTGTTGATAATTAATTTAATGCTCGGGTAGTCCTTCACGTATGAAATATTATTTACAGAGGGTTGGTGATGATGCTCTTTCATGTCACTCGGGTTTTCACCATCTATCAGGCTGGGGCTGCTGGGGAAGGCGCCGTAATGGAAAGGCGATGAGATCAGAAGCTCTTGGTGGGCCCCAGAAAGGATGTACGAGGCCATCACCAAGGTCATGATGATCAATCCAAAAACGAGGCTGCATCGCTTTCCCTTCCTGAAGCGCAAAAACCCGCCCCAGCTTTCGTTCCCTTCAGCCCTCACTTCGAGAATGGCAAGCAAGTTCATCTGTTTACCGTCCACACGAAACACTATTTTGTTTTCTCCTTTGCACACGGGACACTCCTGGCGACTGTGCTGGGGGCCTCCTCGGCAGCCAATTCGCTGTTTGTGCGTGTCGTCGGGTGACAACTGTATGCAACAATTAATGCAGTGCCTCATGGTAACGCCCTTGGATGGCTGGCCCACCAAGCCATGGGCGATGAGTCCTGGTGCGTCGCAAGTCGTGCTGCAAAACTTTAAGGATGTCTTGTGATTACATAAGACAGTCGGAAGGCACAAGCAACTGCAACAAATATAAAAACGAGCAGGTGCCAAAGCACCGGAGAATAAGGAAGGGCGTTCTTTGGTTCAACTCTGAAAGACAACAGAAGGAAGTGGTCTCCAATTGTCATGTTCTGTCAGCATCACTGCAACGTTTTAAAAAGCCACAAGTTCAAGAGCAATTCTGCCCGTCCTTCAGGTTTTTCCCATGGCACAAAATGAAGGGGAAGCGTTCTCCCTGGAGAACATGGAAACACCCAAGAGATTGGCAGATGTCATGGTATTCTCCGTTTGGGATGGACTGGCGTGCCATCCATGGAGACGCTCGTAAAGACTTTTCCTTTTACATCCCGCGTTCCTTTCAAATGTTTCCTTTGCAGGGAGAGCAAAATCTTTAAGATGTCAGATTACCTAAATGACAAAGAAGAGGTTTTATTATATTATGTGATAATAGCAATAACCCCAGGGTCATCTTCCAAGGAGAGAACTTCTAAGATTCAGCCAAGCCTGCTTGGTCACAAGCAAGTCAAAGAAAACCATATAGGATAAATGGAGAGGTTTTAGGGCCTTGGTGCTTGGCTTTGGGATTCAATCTCTGAAACCAACTGTGGCCCCAATACCAGCAGCACTGGCCCCACATCCAACACCTCACATGTTGTACAACTCACATGTCCTCTACCGACTCTACCTAACATAGCAAGATTACTAGATCCCCCAATCCCAGGACTTTGCAATCATTCTCAGATTCATACACAGTTAGTGGCAGTGATCTTGAGGGATGGATTGAAATATCAGCTCTTTTAAGTCAATGAAAAATTCAAGAGAGAGGATGGTTAGGTTGGGAGCAGGCAGAGAAAATGCAGGGTTTTTTTTCTCCCAATAGCACCAATTGTCTCTTCCCTAGATCTAACCTTTATTATTAGTTTAGGAAGTGAACGTTAATGAAAACTTAAAAGACGCTGAAATGATTCTCTCCTTCTGTAGAGTATATCATATAAAATATCCTTTAACTCTTAAGTTATTATGCAGTGAAATCCAGTATGCAGTATTCCCCTAAGTAACATAACACTTCAGACCCTGAAATAATTTTTCACTTTCACCATCCTGGGGAAAACAGGATTCTTAAAAATCCATTAATAAGAGTCTTGCGGTTATAAAATGTATTGTTGCCAAGATGACACTTCTTTGTAGATGTTGTAAGAAGAGGAAAAAAAAAAAAGGAGACCTACTTAGTTTCCAGCAGGGATAAGCCACTGCTAACAAGCTGTGTGACCTTGAGCAAACCATATAACCTCTCTGAGCTCTGGTTTCCTCACCAGAAAAATCAGGATAAGAGTACCTACCTCCCTTCTAAGTTTATAAGAGAACTAAACCAGTTAATGCATATAAAGAGTTTGCATAATGTCTACATATATTTAACATCCCCTAAAAGATAGATAACAATACTATTAGCATCATCAATGACTACTACTATTAAGGTTTTTAATTGTCAGCAAATACCAAAAACATTTGAAATGGAATCAAAGATGCGAGAGCCTATCACATGATTTTCCCTTGGCGCTCTTACCCAAGAATAGGAGACTCACCTCCAGTTCTGCACGCATACCTTCAAACAATCCTTAGAAGGTGATATTAACCACTAACCCTGCATTAAAGTCTCCTTGTAATATAAATGTTGAATAACTATGGTGTACACCGGAAACAAAACAAAACAAAAAGCTGCTTGTATTGGCCGAAGGGCTGAACAAGCAGAACCATCATTAGCAGAAATGTTCTCGTCCCTTGGACCAAAAGGCCCATGTTTTATCAGAATATGCTGACCAAGAAACAGCCAAGCACTGTTTCCTTAAATGTGTTCTGAGTGTTGTCCATAAACGTTCTGTGCTTCTTACTGGGAGAAAAGGTGAGATGGACAAAACTACAGACTTCTTTACAACAGGGCTTTTCAGGGCCTTTAATATGCTGATAAGCCCTGTGACTCCACTGTTGAAGAATATAATACAGAAATTTCCAAAGCATAGCTGGCTCTAGAATGCTCATCAAGTTCTCAAAGACGTAGTTTGAGAACTGCTGGTCAGCGAAGGCTGAGATGTGGGTCAGGGCAGTTCTGAGAAGAGCAGAGGAGTAGAGGCTGCTGGAGCAAACAGCTCTGGAACCAAGTGACACACACCTCGGGCTCCACCCTGCCTCCGCACCCGACAGCAGTTGGAAGGGCCGCATCCGAACCTCAACGCTGCACCTCTGCTTGGAACGTGGCAACCACCCCTGACCCGTCTCTTGGTGCAAACAATTCCAAACCAAAAGAACAAAAGGCCAAGCTCCCCGACTTGGCAACCTCACCACTAAGCCAGGAAAACACAGTTTTACACGCGGAAGACAAGGCGCCAACCGGGATCTCGGTGGGGAGCAAGTTTGCACCCTGTCTTTCTGGCTATGGAAGGCCTGATTAGATTTTTTAAAAAAAAACAAACATGGTCTTTGAAGCTCCGGGACAAGAATGTACAAAATCTGGGCCCAACAGAATGGGCAAAATATTCCTAAACAAGAACAAAGGTTTCTCATTACAAGTAAAGTAAATAAATAAACCTGGGTGGAGGGAGAAGCTACCGTGTGACGAGTGAGGCTCTGGGACGTGGTCAGCCAGAGCATCTGTCCCCAGGGCAGGCTGGCCCCACCCACCCCACCTCTTGCTGTTTCAACATAAAACGGGGAGCAGAGCGCTGGGAGACAATTCCAGATGCCTTAAGAGCCTTAAAAGAACACTCAGATGGTGTCATATCCTCTTCTGTAATTCACTCATTCACTTGTTCTTTCATTCATCAGGTGCCGTCCGAAGGCTGACTGTGTACTGGGCGCTGCTGAAGATGCAAGTCCAGGTGTGGGGGCCTGGAGCCAATACCACATGGGGGGAGAGGGGTGATACAATAAAAAATAAATATTTGGTCTTCGTCCCCAGTTCCTAGCACATAGCTTCTAAAAGCCTTGGCATTTCCTGAATGATAGATTGTTATTCCTAACAAGCCCCTTTCAACCACAACCTGAGTTGAGTGAAAGAAGTGGCTCTCCTGGGCCCCCAGATAGCCTCAGGGTTGTGGCTGGTCACCAGAAGACCGAGCCTGGATTAGAAGCTTGGAGCTTCCAGCCCCCCTCTCCACTCCCCAACCTCCAAGGAGAGAAGAGGCTGCAGATTGAGTTCATCACCAATGGCCAGTGATTTAGTCAGTCAAGCCTATTTAATCGAACCCCACACATACCTCTAACTGACAGGATTCAGACAGCTTGCTAACAATGCTTGAGTGGCACAGGTTAATAGGGGGCGTCCTAACCAGGGCTGGGTAATTGAACACTTTCTATTTTGGGACCAGTTATCTGATCTCTCACAGTGGTATGGGTTCCCACAATTAAGTCTGCATCCACAGGGCACAGGGTGGCTCCCCGGAGACGGCATGGAAGCTCTTGGCGCCTCTCTCCCCATACCTTGCTCAATGCATCTCTTCCATCAGGCTGTTCCTGAGTCGTGTCCTTTATTAACAAACTAGTAATAACAATCAGAAAGGCACTTTCTTGAGTTCTGTGCATCGTTCTAGTAAATTATCGAACATGAGGGTGTGGGGGGGGACCTCTAAATTTGTAGCCAAGTCAGACAGAAGTGTGGGTAACCTGGGGACCCAATATTTGCAACTGGCATCTGAAGTGGGGGCTGAGCGCCTCACCTGTGGGGTCTACGCTCTCTCCAGGTAGTGTTGGAATTGAATTAATTGTAGGACACTGGCTGGCATCTGGAGAGCAGGAGCATTTGCTGCTGTGGGAAAAGATCCTGGAGGGGGTGGGGGCGCTCTTTGAAAAAATATATAAAACTATGTAACATTTATTATACAAGTTTTACCAAAACATATGGCCAGTGCATAATATGTAAAATACACCTCGGAAAGGTTGATTGAAAATAACAGTCTTGGGGCCGACTGAGTGGCTCAGTTGGTTAAGAGTTTGCTTAAGAGCGTGAGCTCTGAGCAACAGGATTGTTGGTTCGATTCCCACTTGGGCCAGTGAGCTGCGCCTGAGCTGAGCTGCCGCTGAGCTGCCAACAGGTGGCAGGATGGCTCAGCTGGTGAGAGCACATGCTTCTAACAAGACTGCCTGTTTGAGATGATGGGCTATGCCCACCCGTGGCTGGGGGACTAAACTCGGCACCTTGAGCTGAGTTGCCGCCTGGATGGCTCAGTGGATAGAGCGTGCACTCTTAACAGCAAGGCTGCCGGTTCGAGTCTGAATGGGGGAAGAAAAAAAAAAGAAAAGAACGGACTTGGGACCAGGTGAACACATGGCTGGGCACCTCTGTAAGAGCAGAGCCTGGAGCCTCAAGCCTTCCAGACCAACCCACGTCCAACTGGCCAGCTGGACGGGAGTGGTGCCAGGTGACCATGGCAGACAGGCCTTTTCCCACCTGGAGCTATGTCTACCAGGAGTTGGGGGCTGCAGGGCAAGACAATAAAAAAGTCACAAACGAATAAGAGCATTATCTCAGACGCCAATACAGGCAATGAAGAAAATAAAAAGGGAAAATACAAGAAAAGCATTAGAGTGGAGGTTCTCAATGCCGCACCAAGGCTGTTGTTGTCGGGGGCTGTGCCACGCACATCCCTGACCTCCACCCCCCAGTGAGAATGGCCACCTGAGAGGAAGGGGAGGTACGGTACACAGGATGGCCAGGGAAGACCTAGTTTAGGAAGGGACATCTGACAACATCATGACAACAAGGAAGCCAGCCCATGGGTCTGGGGAAGGAGAGAACCCGGCGACCGCAGCTGCAGGGAGGGCAGAGCCGTAGGCTGTGGGGCAGCTGTGGGGTGCGGGCCAGATGGGAGTGCAGGCAGGGACAGACTCTGGAGGGCCTGGAAGGCCGGAGTCAGGGCTGACATTTGTCCAAGTGCAAAAAGAGATACACATTATGCATTCTTCCAAAAGGGTCTTCACAGCACGTTATTAACTAACATAACTCAGCAAAGAAAAATCAAATGAACATGACTGTGTTGAGAAGAAAACGCATTGCTGCTATGTTCCTGAACTGGCCTTTCTATAGGCCACAAATTATCCCAAGCACAGGCCTTCAGAAACCTAACACTCAGGTCATGCTTCCCTAAAAAATGAGCGCTGCATGCCCCTCGCACCTCACCTGTCTGGAATGTCCACATGTTGGTGCCAGTGGACTCAGATTAGCCAGGACCCTTGGCGCTCCCATTCAGGTGTTAAACCTAAGTCCTCCAGTATACATTTCAGGCAGATTGCTTCCCAGCCTGGGCTCAATGCTGTGCCCTGTGGATGCAGACTGTGATTGTGGGAACCCGGTACCACTGTGAGAGATCACATAACTGATCCCCAAATAGAAAGTGTTCAATTACCCGGCCCTGGTT